TTATATTGATAGAATGCCTCTCTTATTTGCCACTCAATAATGACAATTTCTCCGAAGATTGATGTCTTTCTGCCACTTGCCTTGACATTGCTTACACAGTTCACTGTGTTATCCTCATCATCTCTGTTCCTATTTTCTTGTTTCTATATTTGATCCCAATTTATGTTGTACATAACACTTAAGAACAAAGAGGACAAACTATTCCATTGAACTGTGTAATGTTTGTAATGTTTTTTGGCGAAGAGCGTGTGGATTTAAGTTCAAGATTGTCGCTGATCATCTGAAATCAACTACAGTTGATGATATACCTCTTAAGGCTTCGTTTGGGATGGCTTTCTCTCTGCTTTTTAAAGCAGCTTTCTAATACAAAAATTAAAAGCTGTTTTAAGAAGCAATAAGATAGCCTTCCCAAAAGAGGCCTAAATCTGATCGTCATCGTTTGTGATTACTTCTTTCTGTTTCTTAAAACAGCTTTTTAGTACAAAATTAAAAAAATTGTATTAAAAAGCTGCTTTAAGACACAGAAAGAAAGTCGTCCCAAGTGAAGCCTAAATCTGATCATCATGCTTTGCTCTCATACCTTCCTGTTTGTTTGTGTTTTTCGTAGGGACAAGAGGGTGAAGCCCAGCACGAAGAGGTAAAAAAGAGTGGCCACGTCCAAAGGAAGGTAGAGAAAAGGCAGGAGGGCCGCAAGCTTGATGCCCACATTGAGGAACAGTTTGGTGGTGGGCGTCTCCTGGCCTGTATCTCATCCCGCCCTGGCCAATGTGGCAGAGCTGATGGGTAACACAACCTCCTCTTCCTTGAAAAACTCAAAAAAATCTGATTCTGTAAGCCTCCAGTAGAGCTAATCTGCTTTGCTTCTTTATTCAGTTACATTATCGAAGGCAAGGAGCTGGAGTTCTACCTGAAGAAGATCCAGAGGAAAAAAGGCAAGGGTGCCGGTGCAGCTGCCTGAGTAAACTTTTTAGAAGCTCAAATGAAGTACTATTATTTTCCTTTTTTATGCCTCTAAGCTACTTTTCAACTGTTGCTGAATCTTTAAACCAAAGGCTTCCTTCTGTTATTTGTAATAGCGGATTTTGTTCTGTTCGAATGGTGGTGAACTGAGGTTCTTAATGCTTTGTTTTTTTGCTTAATTTATGTTTGTTCTTGCAAAGCTAGATTTCATTAGAGAAGTGTTTCAGTCCTTTCAGATATATCCACACCACAAACAGCACTGGAAGTAATATTGGATGGCTGGGATGGATGCCACGTGTTTCCTTTATTTTAAATCTGAATAAATTAAATAATTTTCTCTGTATGCGACCTCGAGCACATTGTTACAAGAAGATTATTGTGATCTAATGAAGTGTAAATTGAGAATAACTTGTTATGAAAGTTTTGAGTTCAAGACTTCTTGATGGGTAGTTTAAGCTCTAATCAACGACAAATTTTTAGGTCTGGTCACCGGACCTATTTTTAGGTCCGGACATCCATTAAAAATTTCTCACGTGGACTGCACTTTAACTCAAAAAAGCGCTGTCAAAAGCGCAATTAAAGCGCAGTTAAAGCGCATCTAAATTATAGTCAAAGTGCATAGTCAAAATGTAGTCCACGTGATAAGTTTTTATTGGATGTTCGGACCTATTTCTAGGTCAGGTGATCGGACCTAATAATTTGCCCTAATTAATAGATCAAAATAATGTTTCGTTTGGGATAGTTTTTTTGCTGCTATCATTTTGCATGGGGGTCAGGGTTGGTGCTATTATTTTTATTCGCTACATTCATCAAATCTTCTTTTCTTTTAAAAATTTAGTAAATTAGATGGTGCCAAGAAAATAATGAATGACAATAT